GAAATCAAATTCATATGGTTGAGTAACTTTTCACATGCTATGACATAAGAAAAATAGCTTCAGCTGCCATTGCTGTCAGCTGCAATTGTTTATTTTTTAGTCATCTACCATTCTATTCAAACAGAAGGAATCTATCTTCCTGGTGACTGGCTAAGATGACAAGAACACAATAATTGCATGATTCCTCAAGGCTGAACCATTACTGGCAGCAGAATCTCTGCAGTTTGTAGAATGTGACTGCATGTTTTAATTTTTAAACATGGACCTTGGCTCCTATATGATTTTATCACTTATCTTAGTCCACCAGTATGTGACCTTGACTTTGTGAGCTGGAGCTATGCTGTGCTTTTCATTTCTCTGTCTTCGTGTTGCATGTGTTCATTCCTCCCTTAAAATGAAGTTTGACTCTCAGCTTCCATCTTCAAAATTTCTGTGTTGTGCTGGAGTGCCCTTGAATAGCAATGGCAGGTTTCATTGCCAGTAATGGCACAGTACTGACTTCCTAGGTTTCCAGTACAGACATGGTTGGGAGTTGCTATCACTTGCACTGTTTTGACATGTTCTACGTTCTCCTACCTTGGAAACACATTAAATAGAGATCAGTTACAGCTTGTGAACAATAAATTGCTTAAATGACTTACTATTTTTGCTGGAGGCTTTTGATAAAGTGTCTGAATAGCTGAGACTTACTGTTTTGGTTCCTTTTGGATTTCTGTGTCACAGCTGTCACAAAGGCAGACCCTGAAAAACAGGAGCTTAACTTGTGAAGAAGAATGTATGCATTAGTTTTATAATATTAGTTCATCAGTCTCATCAGGATTTGTGCCAAATCTTTGAAATTTGTACCAAATCTACCAAAACCTGTACGCAAAATTTGTTGAGCTGCAGTCTCTCTCTTACTTACCCATGGCAATTTTCAGTGTATTCTTTGTCTCAGTGATCCGTGTCTGTGACTTCTTTACTTGAATATTCTGAGGTGTTCTGTACATTTACTCTCTCAAAAATGCTATTCACAGTTTGGGAAAGATGTAGTTTGAAAGTAATGTATATCTTGCATGTTTTGTTGGTGTTTGGTGTGTTCTGCTCATTTCAGGATGCAACTTGTGTTTTTATTGGTTGGTACCTTCTTATATGATCCAGTTGCTTGACAGATTCAAGATGTTGCCTGGTAAATGTTAAAGTTTGGGCTGCTTTCAGTAAACAGTTTTGCATTTGAACTGTGATGGGTTTTTTTGGTCAGATCCAGCACCTGAGTCCTTTAAGGTTTGTGTTTAAAAGGATGCATGGAATTTATTTTCTGTCTTTGTCTATTCCAATCTGCTCACTCTGCAAAACAGTTACTTCTGTGTAAACTTCCATAGCCTGGATTCAATTATCTAACAAGTCAAATTATTTTTTTTTGCAGGCAAACATCTCACCCTTTTTTTCAGATATCTGCTTTCTAGAAAAGCAAAAAGTCCCATGCCTACTTTTGAAGTAGTTTTTGAGATTTAGAAATTGGTTGTATTTGCTTAGACTTGTTATTTAATGTGATAAATATTTGCTGTTCATAAAGGAATTGCTATTTTAAACCTGTAAAAGTCTTTGAGAAACAGCATACATGCCTATTTTTGTGTGATTGATAGAAACCCATTGTTATTAGAATATCATGTGGCCATTTAAGAGCTTTACAGCTCTATGATGAGTTTTATTTTTTAACAAAATTTGTTTTATAAGCTGTGTTATAATAATATAAAATATATCATCTGTTTTTCAGCTATTTTATTTAGAAAAATGTACTTGATATGCCTCCAAACAGTTCTGTGGTTTTCAAAAATATTATTGCCTGGTTTTGTACTGATGAGAAAACTTCCGTGCCGTGGCTTTCAAAGCCACCATGTTTAACATTTTTGAGGTCAGAAATTCAGAAGTATTTTAGCCTTTGCAACATTGACTGATCTCATATGATGGAAGGTTAAAAATGAAATTAGATTTTGACAATAGTTGTGTTTGAAATATAACAGTATTGTTTACATAAATAATGAAAACATACAAAATAATTGTCCATCTATTTTAGCCGTGGCTTTCAAAGCCACCATGTTTAACATTTTTGAGGTCAGAAATTCAGAAGTATTTTAGCCTTTGCAACATTGACTGATCTCATATGATGGAAGGTTAAAAATGAAATTAGATTTTGACAATAGTTGTGTTTGAAATATAACAGTATTGTTTACATAAATAATGAAAACATACAAAATAATTGTCCATCTATTTTATATGTTTGCTACATATTTGTATGGGATTACTGTTATTGCAGCTCTTACTGAGTCAGAATAGGAATGATCATAATTTAGCAACTTTTCTTCCTCAAACTTCAGATGTTCCAGGTGAATTAGAAACAAATGAATGTATTAATCCACATAGCAAAAGGAAAAACAATAAGGATTTCATTAAAAAGAACATTGAGGTAAGCATTAATATTTTGTTAAATGTTAACTAAAAATTAGTCTTTAAGTACTTCTGGAGACAGTTTTGCTTTTTTAAATCAGGAACATTAAAAGTTAATTAGGCATAAATTTGAAAAAATCTTTTTGCTAAAACTGTTATTTATGGCAGAATACTGTATAAGAAAGTTCTCATCTTGGATGCTCATATTGGTGAGGATAATACTGCTTCTGTGTATTTGCTAAAGCATACTGAAAACTGAATTGTTCTGTTTGTGCCTGGGCACAGCTTGTTTTAAGGGCAAGTATTTCCTGTGATTCTTTTTTTAAAGTTTGTAAGTTAAAAGAAGATGTCCTTATGCATAGGTAAGGGGTAGGTTGTTCATGTACAACCTGCAGGGGATCTCTTTTGGTCAGAAAATATATCCCTTGATTTTTGTGCTTTTTTTTTTTTTCCTCTGAATACCTAGTGGCTATAATGATTTTTCATTCAGTGAAAAATATTTGCCTCCCTGCTATGTAAAAACCTATCGTAAGATTATAAATTTATTATATGTAGGCTGCTATACTTTTTTTTTTTCTGGAGTGATAATTTGTATTATGACAGTAAGCAAAATTTGGTTGTTAATTTCACAGAGTTAAAAGACTTTGTTTAGGTGGTGTTTGAGCTAATGGAGTTCTAAAGTGTGTTTGTCTTTTCTTTTTGCAAATATTTTAGCTGGCAAAGGATTCGAGAAACCGATTCATTCTGCTTGAGGGAGAAAGGAAAAGGCTACACGAACTATTGAAAAATATAGAAGGTGGAATTGAATTACAAGGTCTCAAGGTATGACAACTTCAGTCTGTGCTGTCCTGTTGTATTTGGCTTATTTTTACAGTAAATTGGAATTTGATCTTAATTCTACCATGAAGTACCTTACTGAGATATGAGAGAAATGCTGGACTTGTCTCCAAGAATGAATTTTCATTGGTTTCTTTCTTAATTTTACTAACATCAAAACTTTAAAGAAAAGTTATGCACAGGTGGAAGGAGCCTTAGTAGCACACTTAGAGAAGATGGCCTGTTTTCTCTGCATAAAATGTGAAGTTGTGGAGTATCAATCTGAGTGGCTAGTGTTGTAGTCTAGGGCAGAAGGGTCAGCAACTACTTTCAAAAAAATCCCAAGAATTTTTTGAGGACATGAACTTCAAAATGCAGCAATTGGGGAAATATACATTGATGAAGCTCATGGCATCAGTTTAGAAAGATAGCATGACATCTTTCTGTGGCTTCCAACTCCCTCTGTCTTAAAAGTATACAGAGGAGACAAAGTTTGCTTGAGTATTAGACATTTATGCTCTAATATAATATTGTTAAAGAGTGTACAATCTGCATGCTACAGTGAGTAGCAAGAGATGAAGTAAATAAAATACCTTTTCTCGAGGAGAATAAAAAGAGTATTTGATTGTCCCATCAATCGCTGCTTCTAAGAGAGTCTGCAACAAAATTATTCCCAGTAATGTGAAGGCATCAAAGTGTCTTTTGATCTTCCAGTTCCTAAGAGATGGCCTTGATTTCTTACTGCATTGAGGGGAATAGCACAGTGAAGGAGTTCCTGGGGCCTCCGTAGTTTTACAGAAGTATCCATATGGCTGCTAGGGTGGCAAGATAAAATTTCATTTAAAAAATGAATCATACTAGGAGCTTAGAGTACTTTTCAGCTGTGTATGGTATTAACCATGCTGAAGATAAGTGTTTTCACAGGATGAACATCCTCAAACAATATAAACTTGACACAACTCTTCAAGAAACCTGCATTTTAATACGTAAAAAGAAACACTGGGAAAGCACTTGCTTTGTTTAAAGGACTTAGGTGACCTTTCTAATTTGCTTTACATAAAAATTTACATTATGTTAAGTCTATAGAAATGTTATGAACTTACACTATATTTGTATATACATTGAATAACAGTACCTAAGAAGAAAGATGTGAACTTTGCACAGAATGAACAAAATATATCCAAGGTCCAATTTCTATTTAATTTATGCAGCTAAAAAATTGGTTTTCAGTTGTTTTCACAACTTAGATGTGAAGGAAAGAGACAAAAGGAAATGCAATAGTATTATTTTTTAATTGTCTCTTCCCCTATTTTATTTATACTTATTTTCTAGTAAGGTGGTGAAGACATCCAAGCGGTGGTGCTCCTCATTACTCTTTCCTGAAATATGTCTAAAATCCACCTTTATAAATTAGTGTTTCAGGATGTTGGGCAAGGAGGTGAGCTCATAGTTTTCTTCATCTGAATCCAAACAGGTTATGGAAACAGAGAACTCACCTACCCATGGTTTGTCACATTAATCCAGTCTGTAATTTACCCAACATCAATGTAATTTTTATGTTGAAACTCATTCAAACTGTGGTTCAAAACTTTTCTTTTGCTCTAGGGAAGCTAGTAAATATACACTGTATTTTGGCATTTTCAGAGGTTTGTGGGGCAAATACAAGTGAAGGAGTCCTTATCAGTCAGGAGAACCCAATGGGCAAATGACTAAGATTACATAAATGTGCATTATTTTAACAGCAATTGTTCTTTCAGTTAGTAAGATAAAGTAGAAGCACAGAAAACATGACCTTCACTGATTGTTGGTATGTGCAAAATTTTGAAGCTATTAGCCACACCCAGTGCTTGTGTTCACCAGATGAAAAACTTCGACTTCTTTAAAATTGCACTAGTCTTCCTGTTTACCTGACATTTGTTCTCTCCCTTTACATAGGATGCAAATATAATTTTTTCTGGACGTGAACACTGAGTTTGCAGACTGTATTTTTTATCTGTGCTAAATACTCACTGTTGCACAGAGATGTTTGACTTAGCCGACATAGTTTAGAATTAAAAAAATACAGTGGAAGGTTCTTTGGCCTAATGTTGACTTAATTTAGGAGAGTTGATTTTTATTGTACTTTTGTTACATATTAGAAGAACAAAGTTAAATCTCATTGGATCATTATTTAATCTTTTATCTGGCCATTTAGAAAAAGAGTCAAGGTATTGGATCTACTTGCAACAGGTTTGGCATTGCAAACTCACTTAAGGGTGACAAAATGTTCAGCCGAAAGAGCACTTCACCCTGCCTTTGAATAGGGGAAACTGTAGGGAGAGGATTCTGGAGAGTTTGGTTTTGGGTTTTTGAATCTTGATGGAAAGGTTGATGTTTGATTAACAGTGCTGTCTCTTCTGTTCTTTTCTGAGCAAGGACATGTTTCAATTTGAGGAGATAGTCCTCCATTTGATAAATGTCAGCATTTAAAGATCTGAAGATGTTTTAAAAAGCCTTCTGTTAGTAAGCGTAACTTTCTGACCCAGGGAATAGTGGCTTTTATTTTTTTTATAGCTTATTTTATTGATTGCAAAAGTCTCTCACAGTGCATAGTTATTAGGTTTTCTTTTTCTTTAAGCTATTGTCCTTCACAGAATTTAAAGGCATTTATGCAGAATACATAATGCAAATTCCAAATAACAATGTGTACCTTTTTTTTTTTTTTTTGGCACCAATTCTCAAGGCATCAAGGCAATGGAAAAGTAACAAAGCCTAAATTTTGTATTTGGCACATGTCACTATCATGTTGGCATGTATCTATAGAGATTTTGCTATTAATATCAGATATTAAGTAGATCACATCACAGGACATCTGTGTTGCTGTATGTTCTAGATGCCATGGACAAGAATGGAATTTTGTGAGTTACTATAGTCTGTACTAGATCATGTCTCCAAAGAAAAAAGCTCCTAAATCTACTATCAAAGTGGAATGAAAGAAAGGATAATAGTTACTTAAATCTTTCTAGTCTGGTGATGGGTTATTCTTCTTCCACATTTGAATTTTATCATGGGTGAGGCATTTCCTGTGGCTGCTATATAACGAAGATCACAAGGAAATTACCAGCTAATGAGTAATCTAGAGAGCTCCAAGCTGACCCAGGTAACTGTTCAGCTGATGGGCTCTTTCATCTTATTTCATTCTGTCTTTTAAAAAGCTGGTGCATCCACATTGGCTGAAATAATATTTTGGAGGCTGTCAGTCAGGAAAGATCTGGCTATGCTGTTTGAATTCCTCTGTATAGTGTGATGAGGATTAGATAACTTCATTTGATGTGGATAACTTCATTTGACTTGTACTACAAAATATGTCAAATATCTAAACAGCACTTCTCACTTTTTGAAAAAGTGTTTTATGAGAATTTAAAATATTTCAGAAGTACACATTCATGTTAATCTAATTGTCAAAGCTGCTGGGGTATACTTTGTTTCAGATGTTCCACAGTAACCACTGACTGTGCTGTTATAAAAATACTGTTCTGAGCTAGCACACAGGAAACACTGACAGGACAGAAGCTTATTTTCCAAGCAAAGTCATCTTTAAAGTGCAAAACAGAATGTGTGTGTCCATTTAAACCTGGAGTAAAGTGACTACTGGAGTAATTTTAGAAATTTGGAGCATGGGCTATAGACACTGATCTGTACCTAATGAGCCCAGTTGCCTCTTAACAAACTCCTGTAGAGGCATTTCTGTATGCTTGCCCTGTGATCTTCATTCTCTGATTAGGGGGTAGTTAACACAGCACAAGTGTAGTACCATGCTGGATACTTATTTTATGATGGTCACTGTCTCACCTCAAGAGATGTTTCCACAAAGCATTAGAGAAAGCATGAAAAAGCATTAGAATTAATTTTGTTTCACAAAAAGGATGGCTCTGTCTTGAATCACTCTCAATTTTTTTTTCTTCCTCCCCTTTTTCTAAAAAAATTATTATGGAGGTAATTTATGACAGGTGTTTAGGGTATGCTCTTTTCCTTTTTGCATCTAGTGTGCTTTAGGGTAATGGGGATGAACCACAAATGACCTCATAGCAGTGGTATTGTAATTGGAAGCTGATACTTCCTCCTCTCATATGGATGCAACTGCTTGAATAGCCAGAGGACTAATCTGCAAGCGGTAAAGGAATGGTGGACATAAATTCCTTGCAACACAGATGTTAGAGTCTTAGGGCAAGGTGCTGGCTCTATTCTGGTAGGAAAAAGAAAGGAAACCAGCAATACACTCATGTCCTTCTGCACATCCCTTCTCTTCTAAGGTCCTACCTGGTGTTTCACTGTGGTAAGGACAGAGATGTAATCTGCTACTCTCATACCCAGTGAATGATGGTTGTACAGACTTCCTTCCTGAGTGTGAGGCAGGACTGCCAAGTTGCTGTGGAGACCTTGCATCTGTCTGAGTGTGAGCTCATTTGTTTGGGTTAAGTGGGTCAAGTTCACTCATAATAAGCAACTGTCTATATTAGAAGTATATATTCATATTTATTATTCAGATGACACTGCTGTCAAGAGGAGAAAGTCATGTAAGTCATGATCAGGAAAAGAATTCTCTGCTTTCTGTCTCTCCCAGTGTTTCTGTGATAACATACTGGGGCTCTAGGAGTATCTCAGCTGCTGACTTCAGAGCAGTTCCTTTGATTTCCTATGGATGCCTCGTTTTCTTTTTTGGTGATACGTTGCAAGTGTGGCATTACATCTCATACCTTCTTTTGAGATTTGGCTCCAGGTGGTTTCTGCCATAGCATCAACCTCTGCAGTGTCATTCCAATCCTGGTTTTGATTAGGCTTTCTTTCTTTTTGACTTCTTTATCAGACAGAAAGTATTTGTCCTATTAGACATAGCTGCTGATTGTATTACTTTTTTGACTTGCACAGGAGTCTGTTGTGTTTGGGTGTGTACCAGAATAGATGTATCTCTGCATTTGCTGCTAGACTTTTCCCAAAGTTATTGGGGAAGTTTGACAAGATGTGTTTGATGTAGTTGAGAACATCTCATTTTTATGCCTGTTCACTTGCATCTTGTCTCAATTCACTATGTGGTCAACTCTCTGTATTGTTCCTTGGCCTTAATCTGTAATCCAGAATAAGCATGCAAATAAGTAGGGCTGAGATGCATGTCATAATACCGGTGATTTAGAATGATGGTGAGGAAATTCCTGGTGCAGTTTTTGGGTGCTGTGCTTTTCTGTTTCAACATTAGCATTGAGAATGTGAGCTTTTAGCATGTTCTTTATGTTTGCTGTTTGAAGTTTGGTGGCGCTATGATTGCCAGACGCTTTCCTCTTCATCTCTATCCTCTGCAATATTGTGAAAGGAGCACAACACTTCAAAATTGCTTTTCATGCCAGCGCCATCAGAAAGTGGTGCTTACTGTGCAGCACTGAACAGCAAGATCTGTATGGAAGTTAGGCCTTGACAAGCAATTATTCCTTCATTAGGGAGTCAAGTCTGCCATGTTAAACAAAGATGCAAACCACAACAAGGCAAGAGTTTGAATCCATGTAAGGGAGCTGTGATTGGCGTGGTGTGGGGTGAAACTGTCTGAAAGGTTTGACTAACCTGGCTAAGAGGCTGATAAGTGAGATGTCTTGTTAAGAAAAAGGGGTTAGTTTTGCAAAGCACTTCTTTTGGGTGTCAAAAACTTGATAAAGGTAGTTGTATAACCTTTGGAAGAATGGGGGGATAGAGTCTGGGACCTACTGGCATGAAGGCAAAGCATCTGGCTTTCAGAGTTTTATTTCAGGGCTTCTGAGTGGTTAGTCTACTGAAGACACAGGCTTTGGACTTTGATAGAAATAAGTACAATAATAGAAGAAATCTGTTTAGGTTAACACAGTACCTTTTTTCCTATAAAGTTTTAACAATGCAGTAGATGTATGTGCTTTCTAAAATTAAAATTAGATATTTATTTTAGAAGTCCATTTAAGTTGCTGCTTGGTTGTATTTAAAAATGAAAAATGCATGCCTCTACTTGTTCTGTCCATATCTGATTTCAGGTGTGTTAGGTGCATGAAAATTTGGCAGATTTCAGCTATAGACTGAGATGGATAAAAACTTACATTTTATACATAAGTATGGTTCATTTGAAAAATAAATACACTTGATGCATAATTGCCTTTAAAGTTTCTTTCCTTTGTGAACGAGGTTAAAGTGTTTTCTGTATGTTTCAATAGGAGAATGTATCTGGCTGGCTGGCACCAGGAGAAGGCTACACACCTAAACCAATGGAATTTCATCTCCTAAATGAGATAGAAATTAAGCTTCAAAAGCTACCATTGGATGGGGATTTTTCTACAATTTCCAGCTCTTGCTCAAAATCTCCAAGCCAGATTTATCAGGTAGGTTACAGAAAAGAGCTTATGCTGCAGTTATTTTTTTTGAAGTGTATGTTGAGATCTGATGTAAATGAAAATACAGCATACATCTGAATTTGTATCTTTTGCATTTTTCTTTACTCTCTTCTATTTATTCTCAAAGTATATGTGTTAAGGAATGGAGTAAAAAAATTTGGCTATAGAAAACATACGGAAAAATACTTGATTCCACACGTTCAAGAAATTTCATGTCCAGGAATTGGTAACAGACATTTTTAACTGCATGAGGGTCTCAGTGATTCTGTCAGCATAGTAACAAATTACCCTTGATACTCCATCTTTGGGAATTAGAATTAGGTTTCTTCTTATCTCTGGATTTCAAAAGTGGCTCTTCACTTATGATCTGAAAGATGAAGTGATGACTTATACACAGTGTTAAAGAGTGTAAAAAGTAGATTGAAATCATATGTCCCTTGTTTTTAATTACCTTAATCTTTTTCCCTTGCCAGCAATATTAAGAACCTTTGAGGTTTAAGCCTTGAGAAATGATTGTTTGAATGTTGTACTTAGAAGACTCCAATTTATCCTATGCCTCAGTAATGTTGCCTCTACTGTAATGGAGCATAAAATTAAAAAAATGTAATTTCTGTTTTGCACTAATTTGCACAAAGCTTGTTGTGCAATTTAGCACAACTTAACAAAAATTATGTAATATTTATAGCTTATAGCCAGAGCAGGCTCTGTAAGAGTGTACGTTGGCTAAACTGCATTTTCGGTTACCAGTGTATGAGAAACATCTCTTTGAAAGGCTAAAATACTTGTGGGGGTTTTTTTCCCCCCTTTTTAAGGGCACTTTAATGTAATTTTTTTTACCAATGTCTTTCTGAACATGAGGTTTTATTTTACCTCTAGTGGTTTTCTGTTGATCAGTTCCAGGGGAGTCACATTTTGATGTTGATCATTTACCATCTGGGATTTAATGTGTGAAAGAACACCTCCCTCTAGTTGGTAGTCACTTATGCAAATGCAGTAGTTACTCAGTAACTTCAGGTTCATGGACTTGAGCTTGCCAATGATTGCCTAATCTTCTGTTCACTCTTATGAGACATCAGCTTGAAGTTAATGCTTATAAATGAACACTCAGTTTGGGAATGTTTGTCCAGGTGGTTGTTGTTGCTTTCATTCAGGTAATAGCTCAGAAGTATTTGAATAGAAACTTACATTTAGGTGTATGCTCATTGAAGAGTAAAGTTTTTTGAATAATACAAAACTTAGCAACCAAAATGCCTAGTTATTTCCTTAAGTTATTTTTATTAGTGAAAAGCAGTTGCCCTTGAACTTTTGTTTGCAGCATATAGAAAGCTTGCAGATATTGTAGTTCTGTATCTTTCATTTATAATTTTAGAAGTAATTAAAACAGTATTAGCCGAGAGGTGCATATTATAAAGCTGCACATTCTTTTCTTCCAAGAATTGCATTAGATAGAACTTTCAAAATGCAAACTCTTAATCACCACTGCCTCAGTGGGAGAGCTGCTTTCTGCCACTTTGAATACTTTGACAGGATATAGGAACTATGCTCTGACTCTGAAATATTTAATAAGTGATTTAATTATCCTATAGTACATTAGTTGAGCGGTTACAGAGGAGCATACAGATTCATCATTTTGTGCAAAGAGTCCAGATGGATTCAGAACACTTTTTCATGACTAATGTTCTCTTTTACACAGAAATGTTTCTCATCAGAACTGTATTTCTCTCTGAAACATTTCTTTGTTCTGGTGCCAAATTAATGAAATATTTAAAAATGCTTCTGTCTTTTTGAATATTTTTTGGGAAGAACAAATTAAGTTGAATGTAATCCTGGAAGACACAGGAAAATGATAGGCTGAAGAATATGAAGTGTAAGACTCTGTGTGATGAGTACAGTTACCAGCTTAAAAAACTGGAAAACTACTTGAAAACAAAAGCAAATGAAGACAGTATTTAAAGAAACAATTACATCTGTCTGCTTGGTTATCTTATAAGGATAATTAATGTTGTGTATTGCATTGAGGAGTTCTTTCATACCTGATTGGGGTTCTTTTATCCAAAAAATATTCCCTTTTTCATTTATAGCAATAGACTTTAGTTAACAGTTTAAAACTAAATAAATACCTCAAAATATAAAAACATTCAGAAGATACACTAATTTTTCAATTAATGAACTCTTTGATAGCCTATACTCCATGCCTGCACTTCACCAAAACAGATAATTTTCACAGGTATTTCTATTTCAGAACATGGTTAGAATCAGGTTAATAAACTGATCAGTCAGTTTTATGCCTCAAGAAGATTGTATGACACTAATATAATTCATTAGGTGGGATTTTTGTTATTATTTATTTATAGAATTGGGAGAAAAGGGGGTGCAACAAATAATTTTATAATTTCAAATATTGGGTATTTCTGGTTTGTGTTATGTTTGTTACAGCTTTGGCTGTTGCTAAGTACTTGTGTTTTCTGTCATGTAATGTGTTTAACAGTTTTATTTTCTACAGATCTAAAAGTCTAAACCACAAGGTAATCTCAAATGGTCTTTTGCTATGTACACTTGCTATATAATTGATACATAAAATGTTTTGAAATATTTGAAACATTGGCAAGAAAATGTTCTCCTTGCTATAATGCTTTCATGATATCTTGACAAAAATGTTGAAAACATTACTAAGCCCTGAAAAACCTTGATTTTATTCATATGATGTGAGTTCTGATCACTTGCTATTCAGGGATGAAAAAAATGAAACTGTAAGAACTACTTCTGTGAAACCAGCAGCTTAATGCTCCATACTGGTCATATCAAATAGATTATTAGGAACAATTATGAAAGCAACACAGAACGAAACAGAGAATATCGCTGTGCTGCTGTCCACATCTGTAGTGCACCATGTAGCTTTACTGTTGTGCAGTTGTGGTCCCTGGATCTCATAACCAGTACTGAAAAAAATGGTGGTCTGGTTACCAGAGTGTTTAGAAGTATTGAATGGCTTCTATGCAAGGAGTGGCTTACACAGAGTTTGGAGAAGAGGTGGAAATGTGATTGAAATGTGCAAAATAGCGCTGATCAGAGGGAAAGTAAATAGTAACCGTTGTGTTTTTGCCATCTCATCTAGATAGAATTATATAATTTGTGAATGTTGATGTCGGAGAAATGTTGAAAACAAGTACTTTTTACTTCTGTTTTCTTGTAAATGTTCATAGTTCAAGTTTTATTCAGCACTATGATAAGAATTGGTTAGGTACTGTGGCAGAAATGAATATTCAAGAAAAGTTTATGGAGAGTAAAGTCATCATGTTCATCCCCATAAAGAATTTCTTTTGATGCTCCTCTCATAATAGAAGCAACTAGGCTTAGAGTCATATTGAGTGTGATGAAAGTAAAAATAATTTCTGATGTTTTTTGTAAAGTGTGAAGGGGTTGTTCATAAGTGCTTGCAGCAGCTGAGCTGTCTGTAAAATGAAACATGTATTACTGAAACCATTTGAAAATTAAGACTAGGACAGAGATCTGCATAAAGCTTTGCATCAGAAATGTGTGTGTTTGCTCTTCATTAAAGGCTGAGTTCATGTAAAAATATCAACCAGTAGGCTATGCATACAAACCCCCAAACAAGATACTGGCATATCTGTTATATATATACACCAGTATATATATATACTGGTATAATATAATCTTTAGTGACTTCTCAGTACCACCAATTGCATATTCCTATAGGTCTATCCATACATTTTTATAAGAAAACATAACTGCAGCTCTGATCCACAGTGGGCTAACTAACTGCGCATGTGGCAATGTTTCTACATATGCAGAGGTCAAAAGATTGTATTTAGAAATGTAATTGCAGAAATAGCTGTAACTTTTAAGAAAAAGAAATATGATGCCATTGTCTTCCTCCCCACCCTTTCAAAAACAGTTTAATTTATATTAACCACTGGAGGAACAAAGCAGTGTAAAAGCAATTCCTCTTATTAGAGGGAGCTTCAGTTGTTATAGTTGTTAGCTGCATTGCCAACTCTGTGTTTATATTGTAAATGCAAAGGTCACATCCTTGTTTCATTTATTAATACAGAAGTTCAAATAAGTACTTTGTTTCTTTCTGTTCTGTGTGTCAGTCACACAGATTTCTTGCCACTGAATATCAAATTTAATTTAAAAAGTTTTCTGTAGTTAGAAGACTTGCTTTAGACAGTCAGTGTTAAGAATTTCTCTTTGGGTGTCCCACATTAAACTTCAGTCCAGTTTGGAGAGATTCTAGTCATTAACAGATGGTGCAGTTTATATCTCTGTAAGTTTACTTGCATTGTGGTACTGGCAGCTATTGCAGATTGTAAATATATATTCAAAGATTTGTCCCATGTTAAAATAAGTTTATTTTCATGAAGCTAGTGGTTTGATTTAAACATCATAACTCACAGATTTGCTTGATGTTTAGAGAAAGTTTTTCCAGATGCAGTTTTTTATATATTGTAGTTGAGAAATTTTCCATTGAATGTGGAATTGCAAAGGTCATTTTTCTTTCCAATTAGACATGCTACTTGGAGTTCTTTTCCTTGAAGGTGTCTATTAAGGTTGCTTGAGCTGCTTCTGAAAATATGAATGAAGAGAGTATGTTTTTTCACATATCATATGGCTGCTCATATTCCTTTGGGCTGAATTGACTAGCAAGGTGTGGGGAGGTTTTTGGTTATTTCTTTTTTGCCCTCTGCCGTTATCTGGTTCCCTTGGATTCTTTATAGAATCTTTAGTTTGCTAGAGAAAGCCCTGTTTTTTTCTGATTACAACATAACTTTGCAGTTTTGTCAGTACTTGTCATTCTTAATAATCGGAATTACATGCAGTATTGAACCTGGAATATATTCAGGACTGAAACAAACTTCCGAATCCAATCCAAAACTGCTGAAAGATGTGAGAATGTGTAACCCAAATATTTAATAATGGTTGGGCAACTAACTGCAATTTACAGGGGGAGGGTTATTTCTTATTTACCATGATATCTGGTAAATAAAAGGGATTGTCGTTTCAGGTCAGTTCTTCCTTTCCCTTCTGGCTTAATTCTGATCCCAGTATGATTAATAGGAGTCGGATTTGAAGAAGTCAGTCAGTCTCCCCTATTCTCAGTGCATATTTATTGTTGTAGTAGAATTTAAGCATCAAAATATTAGCTCTGGAGACTAAGAAATTCCTCTTAAAATGCAGAGAGTAAGAAATCCTTTATCAAGTCTAGCTTGATGTTTAACTATTGTATTTGAAAATGTGCATCATGAAAATGATGCATTTGCAGAATTTGACATCGACAGATTACTCTAAGCATTTCAGCATTTTCCCTAGAGAAATCAGAAGCCCAGCCCAAACCAGCACATCACTCCTCTGGCTATGAAGCAATATAAAGTCATATATTTAACTTGTGTCTATTATTTCTTTTTTTTAGGAGTCTCTGATTTATGCAAACAGAAGACTAGAAGTAGTTCCAGGTGAACCGGTTCTGCGAGACATTAAGGAAAAACGTAATCAACAGAATCATCTGAAAGAAATAAATCATCTGCTGGAATCCCTACGGAGAAATTATGTAAGTTTCCTATTTTTGTTGTATTTTTCTTCCCTCAGTCTGAAAACTTTGGAGTTTATCTTTCCACTTGTCTTAAAATAAAATCCAGTTTTTCAATCTTAGGTAAATTCCTGGAGGAATCCCCAAAGAAATATGCAAGCAAAAGTCTCAAATATTTTTTCTTAATCGGGGAAACATATTTTTGAGTTCTGATGCAATGCATCCCATTAACATTGTGTCCTTCAAACTCATAGACATTATTCTTCTCTCTTCCTCCTCAGACGGACATAGCATAAACAATAATACATGAATTATTATATATTATA